ATACCTAATTCTTTTTTTTGGCCTTCATTCTCCCAGATAGTCTCTTTGTGCATTTCCAATTATCTGTGGAGAAAAACTAGTCATCCCTCTGGTCATGCACTTGGCCCAATACTTAAGTTCAATGCAATAATAATAATAATTTGGTTGTTGGAACAATGTCAAATTGCTAAAAAGGCATCCAAATAGTTACTCTCAATTACTTGCAGACTGGTTTGAAAAATACAAATAGTCACCAGAGTGGCACTAGTGAAATGTTGACTGTGATACAGACCATTCACAGAAATGATTGTCTTGACAGAAGAGGCTAGTAAGCCCAGTGCTTGAGAATCATTGCAACAGGCCATTGGATCACAGAGGCCTTCAGAATAAAAGAACCTGGCTTCCCTTTTCCCTTTGGAGGTCAATTGTTAAGTCATGCGACCCTGACTATAGGATTCTGAGACTGCAAATCTTTACACGAGCTGAAAGCCTTATCTTTCTCTTGTGGGTTTGAACTGCTGACCTTGCAGTTAGCAGTTCAGTGCTTATCTTACAGCACAACCAGGGCTCCTTGGGAGATGCTAAAGCTGATGCCATTCTTCATATGGAGCTTGTATATCTGTCGTGTGTTGCATGAGAAGGTTGGCTTTGTGTTTTGCTGCAGTGGTCTCCATTTAAGACTTGGATCACAACATCTTGATCAAATGTGAATGATGGTTTCTTTGTAAAAACACTTCTGTGACACCATATATTAGCTGGGCTGAAATGGCATTCTCTGAGGGTTGCTCCAGATTGAGTGCGTAATGTAGATATTTGTCTTGTCTTCAAGTACATTTGTTTGCAAAGATCTTATGTTGTATGTAATTAGAAATTGCTGCTTCTCTTTCCGCTATAAATGAAGCCCTCTCTTATGATTGGAGCTAACACCAGATTTCCGACTCGTACTTACCCGAGTCTCTTCCACCAGAAGTAACGTGCATTAGCATGGTAGTATCCATTTTAGCAAAAACAACTACTGAGGACTAAAAAAGGGTCTGAAAGGCTGTAGTTTTAGAAATCACAGCTGGCATTGTGGCGGGCCAGGAGCAAAGAAAAACCATATGGGTTTGCTGTGAATCGTAGGGAAAAGGAACACTGAAGGGGGATGGAAATGAGATGCTTCAGGTGGGTTTGATCAGTTGCTATGGTTTCTAAGGCATATTTTAATACCAGAGCTTCCAGCTGTGTGAGTACATTATCAATGTGCAAATTAGGTGCAGGCTACCTGGGAAGAACCTGGGAAAGACAGGACTGTTCAGAATGGGCTGGGGGAGGCACACCTTGAGCTACACGTGACTTCAAACTGATTCTTCCTGGTTCACTCATGCCCAGTAAAACAAAACTGAAACTGACCCGAATTTGTAAACTGTGAGTGAACCAGAATGAGGAAAACTATAGTTTTACCCCTTGCTAGAAACTAAATCTCCTTTGAAAACAAGGTCAGCATGCATGTTATTTCATAGCAACCAACTCTCTTGACCAGCAGAGTGGGAAACAGTGGTGCCCTTCTTAAAGATGGTGGCTGACTGCTGCTCTGAATGCCTGCCATGGTCTACAGCCCTACCAGTAATCTGGTCGCCCCTGCATCAGGATCCTGAGTGGGCTTGCTTGTGTCTCTTCTGAGTCTCCCATTCTAAGGCTCTGACCCATAAGTTTTCCGATTGCACCTGTCGTTGTGTTTCACCCAGCTTTAAAAAATTCAGTTCTCTTCTGATTTCATTTCATTGGTAGTGACTGGACTAGTTCAAACCACATTAAAGCCCTGGAGTAACAAACCACAGTGAAGGGATTTGATGGTCAAAGAAAGATGCTATAGAAAAGAATCAAGATAGTGTTTTCAAGACCAGCTCTTTCTCGTTCCTTCTTTCACAGACTCATTGAACTCCCCTGGGAAGTGGTGTCATGAAATGACAGTCACTAGAAGTGCCGCGGGAGAACACCCAGTAAAGTTGGAGTCAGAATATCTGGGTTGGCTGGGTACCAAATGAGCATCTTGACAACCTTATTAGCCCCTGTACCTTTTCTTTACCTTTGGTTCCTCATTTGTTAAGCATAGTTGACTTATGGAAGCTATTAGGTTCAAATGAAGATCATATAAAATCATAATTTATTTCTTTTATTTATTTATCTAAATTACCAGTATACCCAACCCCCCTCACTTCACTTAACTTCAAAAAAAGACGGGGGCATGTAAGGGAGACCAATTGCTTTTTTGGGGGGTGGGTATTGCAGGATTACTTCAATGTAGGTCCACATTATGGTAAGACATTTAGGCAGAGAATCAGGTGAGAGTATTTGAGCTGAAGAACTATTTTACCTTCCAGAGTGGTGGAGGGACATATACATGGTAGTGGTAGTGTGCCGTGGAGTCGGTTCCGACTCATAGCGACCCTGCATAGAGTTTCCAGGGCTGTAAATCTTTACGGGAGCAGAAAGATTCATCTTTTTTCCCGCAGAACAGCTGGTAGTTTCGAACTGCTTACGGTGAGGTTAGCAGCCCAACTTGTAACCACTACGCTACCAGAGCACCTGACAGTTTACATAGATATGAATATTATTTGCAAGTTCTTACACATGTACTGTTACATTGTTGTTGTTGTTGTTGGTTCTGACTCATGGTGACCCCATGTGTACAGAGGAGGACTGCTCCACAGGCTACTTAAGGCTGTTACCTTTTAGAAGCAGATCACCAGGTAAAATGTAAGTCAAATGATAGAGTACTACGACTTAGCCTTCTAAGGAAGAGCAAGCACTTAACTGTCAGAGCTTTTTAAACAATAATATGAAGGCAGGAATCTCCTTACAATCAAACTAACTGCCGTGATTCAGACCATGAAATTGTGATTTGGAGAGAATTGTCAATCCAGAGGCTGAAGAGAGCTTTCCAAGAGAACAAATTTTTTTTCATTTAAGAAATACTAGCGTTCTGTTCTCTTACCTTCCTTACCCTGCTTCTTCAACATCTTATGTAACCATAGTACAGTTGTTGATAACAATAGTATTAACTAATCCTCAGACTTAATTTGGCCATTAGATTCCTGTACTGTGGATTGTTATTCTGAGGCTTTAATTTGGTTTGAACTGATTGAGATCTTCTCTGGTCTAGTTCCTCACATTTATTTGTCCTATCAATGTAGTGCCTGCTTAATTCTTTTTGTTTGCTTGCTTTTGACTTCTTTTTAAAAAGTATTTCCTGGTTTTTTAGTTTTTAAAAAAGTTTTTTAGTGTAAAAATCTTGTATTTGTTGTTAAGTGCTGTCGAGTCAGTTCCGACTCATAACAACCCTTTATAGAGTCTCTGAGGAGCAGCTGGTGAGTTTGAACTGCTAACCTTAGCATTCAAACCAACTTTGTGGTCCGATGTTTATCTTACAGCGTCACACCAGGACTCTGTTGTTATTTAAGTACCGCTGAGTTTCTTCCGACTCATAGAAACCCTGTGTAGGGTTTCTGAGGAGTGGCTGGTGAGCTTGAACCGCCAACCTTCTGGTATAAACCAACCTTGCAATCTAGCAAACTAACCCGCAGCACCATACCAGGACTCCCTGTCTTGTGGAGTGCCCCTCAATTTTGTTTGTGTGCTGTTTTTCATGATTAGGTTGAAGTTCTAAACCTTCCAGAATTCCACAAACTGGTGGTGTGTCCTTCCTAATGCATCCTATCATGAGGGGTACATGCTGCCAACAGTACTTCTTATTGGAAATGTGAACTCTGGTCACTTGATGAAGGTGTCGGCTAGATTTTTCCTCTGGGAGGTTATGATGGTTCCCTTTCTGATGAATCTTGTCATTTTGTTTTTAAGAAAGTTTAATGCTTTCTGAAATTGATGGTCAGTGTGGGTACAAGTGTTGCTCCTGTTGGTTGGAACATTGCCCTAAGACAATGATGGAGTCAGGATTTCAGTGCTTCAATTAGATGGCTCTCAATCCGTACTGAAATGGATTGGCAGATATTACATTGTAGGCTTTCTAAGTCCTACCTCCAGGCAAATCTCATAGTTACTAGCAAAAATGAAAGTGTAAAATGCTTTTTAATGTATATTTAACAACACATAGTCTGGTGATTACTGATGTGTGTTCTCTGTGGGTTCCCTTTGCTATCAGAGCAGGTTGTTAAAGAGACAACATTTTAAAACACTTACTCGATCTGAATCCATCAGATGTTTACTTTTCTAAACATCTGTAGCTGTCATTTATAACAAGACTATAAAAAAACCAAATACTTTAAGTTTAAATCAAACTTTGAGTCATAGGATTGCAATCAATTTTCAGGAAAAGTACAATTACCTTTCTCAAGTGATTTTTTTACCTGGCTCTACTTTAGGAAATTGCCTACTATTAAATGATACTAAATATAGCTATTAAAAAATAAGGGAGGAGAAATGAGTTCAGTTAATAAGGGGCTTGAGGGGCAATACTACTTTATTCATCTTTTGATTCAGAAATTCATAACACCTCATATTTAAAGAATTTTCCTCACCAAATCCAGTGTCACGTCTGCTTGTATTTTAGAAGTAAATGTGGCAGAATGTTCTCAATTCCTTTCTATGGTGTCATTATTTAGTAAGGATTAAGGTACCATTTTTTTTTTTTTTTTTACATTGATAGTGGTTTGCACAGCAAGTGTTCACATCTTATACTAATATATGCTAAATAGTTGCATAGTACATAGATCACTTTTGTTAAAATAGCAGTATTATTGAAAGCATTTTGGATCACAGAGCCCCAGTGGTCTGTGTTTTGTTTGCTTAGACATTATTAAACTCTTACCTGTTTCTCTAACTGTGACTCTAATTGCTGTATTTGCATGGCAGGAAAGTTTGCTTTGTGGGTCGACTTTCATTAACAGTGCTTGCATGTTGTTTTCTGTTCTTGTGCTCTGTGTTCCATGAGCAGACAGAGCATCTTCAATTGCATTGAATAATTATGCACAATCAATAAGTGTTTGTGTTTGTCTTTGTTGTTTCTTTGATGTGGCCTCTAGGATGCTGCCGGCAAGGTGCTGGACCGCTGGGCTATCATGTCTCGAGAAGAGGAGATTATCACCCTTCAACAGTTTCTGCGGTTTGGAGAAACCAAATCCATTGTGGAGCTGATGGCAATTCAAGAGAAAGAAGGGCAGGCTGTGGCTGTGCCATCTTCAAAGACAGACTCAGATATAAGGACTTTCATCGAGAGCAATAATCGCACTAGGAGTCCCAGCCTCCTTGCTCATCTAGAGAATAGCAACCCTTCCAGCATTCATCACTTTGAAAACATCCCTAACAGCCTGGCTTTTCTGCTTCCATTCCAGTACATAAACCCAGTCTCAGCCCCATTGCTAGGGTTGCCTCCAAACGGCCTTCTGTTAGAACAGCCAGGGCTAAGACTGCGGGAACCAAGCCTTTTAACCCAGAATGAATATAATGAGAGCAGTGAATCTGAAGTGTCTCCCACACCTTATAAGAATGATCAGACACCCAATAGAAATGCCTTGAGCAGCATTACTAATGTGGAGCCCAAAACAGAGCCAGCCTGTGTGTCCCCCATTCAGAATTCTGCCCCAGTCAGTGATCTAACCAAAACGGAACACCCAAAAAGCTCATTCCGGATTCACCGAATGAGAAGGATGGGGTCAGCCTCTAGGAAAGGAAGAGTGTTCTGCAATGCATGTGGCAAGACGTTCTATGACAAAGGCACTCTTAAAATACATTATAACGCTGTACACCTGAAGATCAAACATCGATGCACCATCGAAGGTTGCAATATGGTCTTCAGTTCCCTGCGAAGCCGCAATCGCCACAGTGCAAACCCTAACCCCCGCCTTCACATGCCTATGCTGAGGAATAACCGAGACAAAGATTTAATTCGCGCCACATCAGGAGCTGCCACCCCGGTCATAGCAAGCACAAAATCAAATCTCACTCTCACAAGCCCTGGCCGGCCCCCAATGGGTTTCACCACTCCTCCACTGGATCCCGTCTTACAGAATCCTCTCCCTAGCCAGCTGGTATTTTCTGGGCTAAAGACTGTCCAACCAGTTCCTCCATTTTATAGAAGTTTACTCACTCCGGGGGAAATGGTGAGTCCTCCGACCTCCCTCCCGACCAGTCCCATCATTCCAACTAGTGGTCCCATGGAACAGCACCCACCACCTCCCTCTGAGCCAATAGTGCCAGCAGTGTTGATGGCCTCCCATGAGCCTAGTGTTGACCTGGCACCCAAGAAGAAGCCCAGGAAGTCAAGCATGCCTGTCAAGATCGAAAAGGAAATTATTGACACCGCTGATGAGTTTGACGATGAAGATGATGACCCCAATGATGGCGGAGCTGTGGTCAGTGACATGAGCCATGTTAATCATTGCCACTCCCAAGAGGAGCTGAGCCCAGGGATGTCTGTGAAGGACTTTTCTAAGCATAACAGGACCCGGTGCATTTCAAGGACTGAAATCAGAAGGGCTGACAGTATGACATCTGAGGACCAAGAACCTGAGCGGGACTATGAGAATGAGTCGGAGTCTTCAGAGCCCAAGTTAGGTGAGGAATCCATGGAAGGGGATGAGCACCTTCACAGTGAAGTGAGTGATAAAGTCCTGCTGAGCACTGAGAGGCCTGATGAGAACCACAGTGAGCCTTCTCACCAGGACATCATCAAGGTGAAGGAAGAATTTACAGACCCCACCTATGACATGTTTTACATGAGCCAGTATGGACTGTACAATGGTGGGGGAGCCAGCATGGCTGCCCTGCATGAAAGTTTTGCATCGTCTCTCAATTATGGCAGCCCCCAAAAGTTCTCCCCAGAAGGTGACCTGTGTTCTAGCCCAGACCCCAAAATCTGTTATGTGTGCAAGAAGAGTTTCAAAAGTTCCTACAGTGTGAAGCTTCACTACAGGAATGTTCACTTGAAAGAGATGCATGTGTGCACGGTGGCTGGCTGCAACGCTGCCTTCCCCTCTCGTCGAAGCAGAGACAGGTCAGTAAATCTCCATTGGCTGCTCCTGCTGGGGGTGGAGGGAACCAGTGTCCACCATGTTGAACTGAACACTGAAATGTGTGGTAGATGTTTTTGATGCACTGTAAAGAGTGTCCTCAGTGACCACATGATAGCCAAGATGCCATGCTCATGAAGGATCATTATAGTTGGTGCTTGTTATGATTAAGCATGCAGAATCATACGCCATCTTACTCAGTAATGCACGCCATTGTTCTCTGTCAGCTGTGTATGTGTGTATGTGTGTGTATGTGTTTCCATGCATCCAGGTGTGTATAAGTTAACTCTTGACAGTGTTCCCCGCTTCCCCATGAACCTTCACTTAGAAGCCGCAGCTTCTGTTATATATATATATAATATATATATATATATATAATCTGCTTTGACATATGGCTTTTTAATTAAACCATTATATTATCTTCATACACACATATTTATCCAATATAGAAACCGAAATTTACGGATGGAAAGAACCATAGGTCCAGGACATCGAGACAGCCTGCATCTCCGTAGGTATAACCAGAAATGTTACCATTCCTTACATGAGTATTTAGTGTGTCCTTCAATTCTTTAAGAATGATGAATATATCACAAGAAAATGTGACTCAAGAAATGGACAATGTGGGGAAATGAGGTGGTGTGGGTTTCTTACTTTTAACTTCACAGGGTATTTGAGCACATCTCTCAAACATTGTCCCCCCTGGGATTAGCCACAGAAAGGGGGGGAGTATCAGGCAGAATATAGCCTATCCGGCCCTCAGATGACTTCACACCCGAGCTATGTAGCTGCAGCTCAGAAACACTTAGGCTTAAACAGAAGCAGCTGGTCCTAAACCTACAATGCTCTTTTTGAATCCTAAAGCGAATGTAACATGAATGGAATGTGTTGAGGTGGTCAGCAGTGGAGTCACACAGTGATAATCTATGAGCAGAGTCTGTCCAATGTCACACACCAGTTCTTCTAGCATCGAATGCGGCTTCCTTCATTCAACGTTGTCTTCTTTAGAGTAAAAGTTACCACATGGTAAAAAATCAATACGCATAGAACTTAGACATTTCGAGATAGCCACCACCGATTCCTAGTGTTTGTCAAATAAATTCCGTAGCGTTTTTGACAGAGTAACGTACCTGTCTCTATCATGCTCTTTGTCTCCATATTTGAAATCTTAACACTTTCTAAAAATCAATGTCATATGTATATAGTTTTCCTTTCTATGAAATAAAATAGGCCCAATCCATGAAAAGCAGAATTTCTAAGAAAAAGACCACCCTGTGTTCATTCAGCTCAAGCCATGTTGTAAAGACAAGAAATCTGTCTTAAAGATTTCCCCAACCCCACCCCACTCCAGTTTATCTTTCTCTGTAAACGTATTTTGTGGCCACAAAGTTCTTTGCAGTTCAAAGTTATCACTGACAATCTCAAAATATGTCAGCTAAGAGAGCCGTAGTTTGAATAGTAAGATAGAATACTACACTCACCCCCTCCCCTCATTTATGAGTAATAGCCATTCTTTTAAATATGAAATAGTGCACTCGTGATAATGAGGTTAATGCATTGGATTTTTTTTTTTTAAACAAAAATAAAAGACTCATGAAATCCTGCATAAAATATTTATGAAAATGGAGTATTTGAAGACAAGCCAAAATTTAAGCTTATTTGCATGGATTCCTGTCATAGTTTTAGTTGGTTTGATGAAAATATTATAAGTCTTAACACTGGAATAAGGCGCTCTGTGGGTGCAGGGGGTTACTGTTGAATTCCTAACAAGTTCAGCAGGTAGAATCTACCAGCTGCTTCTAAGGAGAAAGATGAGGCTTTCTTCTCCTGTCAACCGTATGTAGGGTCACTATGAGTCAGAACTGACTCAACGACACACAAACACCACCAACAACATTGGAATAAGTAGCTACAGGACCAAGACATGACCATCCTGGAACTGGGCACTTTCCTTTAGGTAAAACCACTAGAAAATACAAGTGTTTGCCTTTTTGTGTCCTCCAAACATAAGGAGATACTGCTGAGAAGGGTGGCTTGTTGGAAGGGAAAAAAAAACACAAAAAAACCCATTGTTAACAGGGGAATATTTACACATCCATATTTATTCTAAGGATTGGGGGCTGGACAGTGGCTGTCCTATAGAGGTTGACATCAGTGTCTAGGTTCAGTAGCATCTGCTAGATGGATGGGAGGAATGGTAGTGTGACTCTTCTCCATGTTCAATCACGCAAGGATAGAGCAAGCCTCAGAAGACAAGTGATAAAGTCCATTGGGTTGAGCATCATTTCACATCTCATTTATTTAGTTAGTTATTTTGGCATTTTGTCACATGGTAAACGAAGAAAAGCAAATAAAAAAGTAAAAAGTTTTAGAGGCTTTTTTAAGCAAAAAAATTCTTACCTGAAATTTTTCCTTTTCAAAATACAAATTTTTGATCCTAGCCTTAAAACTTTGACTTAATTAAAAAAAAAGAAGAAGGAAAATATTCATCTTGTGGAGTCTCTGACTTGAATTAATTCCGGGTGCAAGTTCAGCTACCCCCAAATAAGCAGAAACAATGATGCATTGGAGTGCCAGCCTCTTCACAGAGCTGGGCGAAGCCGACTGACACATAATTGTCCTCCTGTTGCAGCTTTTTATCATGATTTCATCAACTAATGTGGACCTCTAATTGAATCTCCTCCGTATTCACAAGGCCTCCTGGGTCATATCTCAGATTTTCCCCGACACGTATCTGTATTAGTCACGAGAACCCCAGGAAGTTTGTGTCTCTGTTTTTTTCCTCTTTGATTCGCTGTGAAGCGAAGACATGTTTTCTTACCTTTCTCTGAGCCAACAGACCTTCCCAAACAGAAACTCTTCTTTGTCTTTAATCCTGCTGTCCTCAGGCCCATTTCTCTCCTTTCCCCAGAGCCTTAGTTCATCCATCCTTGACTCCACAGCATCTTCCTTGTGCAAATAAAGCATTAGAGGGGATTTTGAGTGGGGCCTGGAGTGTGCAAGGCTTTATAGCAGAATAACCCTCTTCCTTCTTTTTTAGAAAAGCAACCCTATCTTTTTGGCCACAATACCTTGCAGGACTCCTACACAGGCCCCCTTCCAAGATGTTATACATGAGTGATTTGCATGTTTGGTGTCCAAGTAGGCATATTGGCAAGATGGAAGGAGAAAATAGGTGAAAAGCTGTGTTTTCAATTGGGCAGTCAAGTTAGTTGGCAAAGAATCCCAGGTCTTTGCTTATGGTCTTCCTAGATTTTATTACATCAAGATGAAGGCTGTTTGAAAGGTAATAATATTCTTCGTCTGATGTCACCAAGCTATGGGGAGAAGTAGTGGATACATCTGAGCTCAGTGTCAGAGGTATCCTTCGCTGCATAGTTGTAAATGAGGGTGAATTTAATAAATTCAAAAGCATAAAGGGCCATTCTACAGTAGTGTAAGGAACAAGCTAACCTACACCAACTCCAGTTCATTCTGTTCACCAGCTCTCTGGTAGACTAATTCATTCTCTCCTGAGTTACACAAGTGAAGTGATCTTACGTTCTATGTAAGAATGATGGGTCTATAAGGCAGTAATATTCAAGTGTATGCTAGCAGTGAACAACTCTATCTTTCCTTGTCCCTTGACTTCTCTTGCTACTGGGGTGTTGATCTGTACTAATGACACCTGTTCTAACCCTCAGTTTTGAAATGTGCATACGAAATGCTTGCTGAGAAGAAGAATTTCCAATTAACTGGCCTGGAAACTATATGTTCTCCAGGAGTGAGTAGTATTACAGTTAGAACGAGCTGGGCTTAAGGTTACCTTTGGGAGCCCCTGGGTGGTACACATGACCAACATGCTCAGCTGCCAACCAAAAGATTGGAGGCTACCTTGGAAGGATGTCCTGGTGATCTGTTTCCAAAAATCAGCTATTGAAAACCCTATGGAACATAGTTCTCCTCTGCCACACGTATGGTCACCATGATGCAGGAGCAACTCACAGCACCTGGTTTAGCTTACTCTTGACCAGTCCTCATTCTTCGACTTGACTTTGATCCCAAGAGGGCTGAGGACCAAGGATCCCCACATATTTGAGTGGGGAACCCATTTATAAATTACATTTGTTCTTATTCAGAAAACAACTATCTACCCTCTTGTCTTCTTACCTAATATTCCTTATCATTTAGTAATATGTTTAAGTCTTTCACATTTACTTTAGTAATTGACATTGTCAAAGCGTCCTCAATGAAAATGAAGGTGTTCCACCCAGAAAGTACATATTCATAGTAAGAAAAATTTGTCGCTGTTTTTTCTTACTAAATCAGTTTTACCGTCTTTGTTTCTTCTCTGGAAATGGTGACCACTAGTTGCCAAGGTTTGTTTTAAGTTTTATCAAAATGTTAAGCATATGTGTTTGATCTTCAAGGTGTAGGAAAGGTGATTCAGCCCCGTGAATAAATTTAAAAAGAAAATAATATTTGCTTAGGGTGATTTATAAATAAATATGAGGCAGCCATTGGTGCCAAGTGTGAACCTTCTATTTGATTGCTAGTTAAATCAGTCCAGATTTAAACATGTAAACTTCTTGATTTGTATGGAGTAAGACATCTGTATTTGGTTTATTAAAACCTGCTGATGTCTCCAGAACTAAATTTGTTCCTATATAGGCCTCTGGGTAGCTGTAGCTAAAAAGCAGAGACATATAGTTTTTGCTTGTCTTATTACCTGACTTCAGCCCAGTACAGGTGTGCCGTAATAAATTAACATGAGCTACCTTGATGAGCCACTGCATACATTAACAACAGAGGTGAAGATGTGAAAACCTGCGACCTGCCTCCTGTTAGCACCTTCTCAGCAGAGCAACATCCATTTTTTCCATCATTTCTGTTTGGAACTTAGAACTTTTTCAGAGGGAGCTTTTCAATAATTACACATGATTTCACCAGACAATAGCTCCAAGAAATGAGCCACTTAGCACCAGTTCAAGATAACTATTAGTAT